CAGCCAAGTCCACGGATCCCCAGCACCTCCCATGTCAGCCCAGCCCCCAGGTCCTCAGCCCAGGAAAGGGGAAGTGAAGGGGTTCTAGGCCCTGACCTCAGCGTGCCTGGTCTGAAAGCAACTCACTCCCCCACCCGAACCCAGAGTCTGCGTCAGCAGCACTCAAACGAGGGGCATTGTGCAATCCGTGGTAAAGCCTAGCCCAGCTGGATGCCTGGGTCCCTGTATTTTTAGCCCCAAAGGAGAAGTGAAAAGGCCCTAGCAGGGGTGAATCATCAGTCCTGGGGAAGAACCCAGGCGCCTGGGCCCCAGCTCCGGGAAGCAGGCTTTGGGGAGGGGGCTTCAGGGAAGGAGTGGCCCACCAGGCTCTCCTCTTCCCTGAGAGCAAGCTTTGGGAGCTCAGCCATGGCTTTCAGGCCTGGGCAAGTGCAAGGCGGAGCTACCAGCCCAGGCCCAGCTGTTGGGGTATGAAAGGCTCTAGTGAGTCAGCCTGGTTGCGGGACTGCCCCACCCAACACCTTCTCTGCCCTGGTTGCTTGCCATCTTGCCGCCCAGAGGCGTCCTATCCTGGACCCCACATCTGCAAGGAAAGCCTGGAACTATAGAGACCTGTGATTCACCCAGAGCTCAAGTCCCCACACTGGAGTCCTGGGAAATGGCCAGCCCCGTGTGTGTGTGTGTGTGTGTGTGTGTGTGTGTGTGTGTGTGTGTGTGTGTGTGTTTGTACACATCCCAGGAAGTTTCTTAAAGAGCCAGGCATGTAGGGCAGGCCCCCAGGAAGGGCAACAGACCAGTCTCAGACACTAGCTGAAGATGCTGTCCACAGGAATAAATCTGACACAAATGTAGGATATGTAGTTGGAGAATTATGTTTGTTTAAAAAAAAAAAAGTCTGAGAGCTTAGGTTGGGTAGTGGTCTGTGGGGATTCATTATTATCATGGTCTAATTACTTGTTAAATAGGTGATTAAGATTTATTTTGGGGGCAAAAACGTCCTTGGCAGAGGTCAAGAAGGCCTCACTGAGAAGGTGGTACTGGAGCAGACTCGAAGGAGAGGGAATAGGCATGTGGGCATTTGGAGAAAGAGCATCCCACAGAGAAGAGTGGCAAGTGCAAAGACCCTGAGGCAGGAATGTGCTGATGTGTTTATGGGACAATGTGGAGGCCTGGACCAGAGTGCAGGGACAGGGTTAGAAGAATTGTTGCATGTCACGAAGGTCCTTAGCGAGATTTTTACCAAATTATTAGACCCAGAGGGGGATTATACAGCCTAGTGCACAACCACACGCTCCAGGAAAAGGTGTACATGAGAACCACAGCCACATGGGGCATAACAGACCATAGGGACACGGGTGCAACACGCCCCCCCCCCCCGGCAGAGAACAGCATAGCCCTCCACCCTACAATCATGGTGTCCCCAGGTTCTCTGGCCCAGTGACAGTCCCACAGACTCTAAAAGGAATAATCCAACCACATGAATATACAAACAACTCTCTAATCACCACTTAACCCACTATCTTTCACCCCATCGCAGACTTTGCCCATCACAGGCTGACTCAGCCCTAACCCACAGCTCAACATTACTGAAAGCAGCCTTAGCTGGGGACAGATAATGTTTCTTAGGTACAAGTGTGTGCGTGTGTGCCTCGGCTCTGCCTATGGAGGCGGCAACCGGTGACCCGCCACCCTCCCCATCATGTGCATCGCAGACGTCAGGAACCGAAGTTCACTAGTTTCACTGCCTTGTGACTGGGCCTCCGAGGAACTGCATCCAGATTCTGGCCTCTGGTGTTCTCAGCCTCACCCCAGATAAGGACACAGACACTTGGAAACACTGTTCGCTACACACGCAGCCACGGCTTGCTACAGTCACAGAGATGCTCGCACACAGCTCCTCAGGCCAGAAGGCCCTGGCCAGCCAGACCCGCACCGGGGGCTCCTCAAGGAGTTCCCTACTCTTAGTCTCTCCAGGTCCCATAGTGGCTCTGAGTGCCACAGATGTGCAGCTAGATATGTAAGTCACAAGCGACGGCCACTCGGAAGACAGCTGCGGTTGAGTACACGCTCCCACACCCGGAGATGGCTAAAGTAAACAGAATCAACCACACAGGCGCAGGTGGTTTTACACATGTGTTCACACAGCCATGGCGGGCAGGACTGTAAGGACACAGCCCTCACACCGCAAACGGGGCATGCATCCTGCTGTCCCGTACCTACTTGCCCTAACTGCACCCAGCCACACCAGGGCGCACACGTTCGCACCTACAGTATACACACACACACACACACACACGCACATCCCTCTGGCACGCCCCCACGCACACGTTCGCACCTGCAGTACACACACCCGACACACAACGTCGGGCACGCCCCCCCCCCCAGGCTGGCCCCGCAGTTGCACACTCGGCCGCGCCCGGGCACGCCAGGCGCGCACACGTGCCGCGAGTACACGCTCGCCCGCGCACTCGCACCGACTCTCACACCCCCGCGTTTCCCGTCCCCGCTTGTTTTTCTGGAAACTCTGCTCTCCGTTCCCCTCCCCCTAGGCCGGAAGTGCCCGCCGTATTTTTAGCCGCTCGGGTTTCCGCCCCTTTCCTCCTCGCTCCGCCCGCCCAGGAGCTACCCCCCCTACCCCGCCGCCGCACCCCGCGGGGGACCCCGGCCATCCCCTTCCCCACCGTCATTCCAGAGGGGATTCCCGGCCGCCACTGGGGCCACGGATTTTCCCGCTGGCTACGTGCGGAGCGGGGAGGAGTCCTGCCCTGAACTTCCTCCCGGGCCGGGCGTCTGGGGCCTGGACGGGGTGGGCAGGGGGATGGGAGCTAGGCTCCTAGACGGGACTGGGGAGAGGCTGGGGGCTCGGACTTGGACTAGAGAGAGAGAAAGGGGGCTGGGCGCCCGGACTTGGGGATCTGACGTAGGAGAGACTGGAGGCTCGGTCTCCTGGATCTGAGCAGAGAGGTGGTTTGGAGACCCGGACCCGTCGATATGAGCAAGAAGGGGCCAGGGCCCGGGGTCCCACCCGTCTGCGTTTCGGTGGAGGGTCGGCCCTACCCCGCGCAAAGCTCCCTGTCCAACCTCTTCGAGCGTCGCCCAATCCCAAGCGTCCTGGCTCTGGGGCCGATGACTAAGCAGATAGGACAGGGGAGGGGGTCAGCCTGACTCAGGGATGGGAAATGCTCCCAGTCTCTAGGGAATCGAAACTCCCCCAGCATCGCAGCCGAAGCCAAGCCAGACGCCGGAGACCCCGGGGTGTCCCCCCCACCTCCGGTTTTCCCTCCGCCTCAGTCCTACTAGCGGCACAAGGATTTGGAGCCTAGCCGGGAGGCGAGTACCAGGCGCCTCCCTTTTCCCTTTTTTCCCCCCCGTTGTCCTCGAGGCTGTTGTTTACAGGCGACACAAGCCCTGGTTACAGGAGAGGAACCCGGGCGTCCGGGTCCAGCCTCCTCGTCACGGCTTCCAGGAAGCACCCCCTCCCCCGCCCCTTGCGAATGAGTCACGGTCGAGCGGGAGGCTGCAACCGTGCCAAAGCCGCCCGCAGCCGCCCAGCTCACGGGACTGGCCGGGAAGGCCCCTCAGCCCCAGAAAGCGCCGCACCAGGGATTCCCCCGAGTTCTGTCCGACGAGGCAACTCGGTGTGCCTGGTGGATTCTTCCCACCTCAATACGAGCCCGCGGTCGCAGCTTGCATAAACAAACTTTCCACCTTTGTAACTGCACTCCATGGCAATGATTTCTACCCCCGAGTTTTCACTCAGGACAGCCAGCTCACCAAGATCCCCTTAAAAGTAAACTTTCTTCCCAGGTCCCTGTAACAGAGTGTCACTCAGGGCACCCCCTTGACAATAACAGACTTGCCAACGTGGAGAGCCACCCTGGCAAGTTAAGAGTTCTCTCAAGGCTCACCCCTTTAAAAGACACCCATGCGACCATTAGTTGGGGGCATGATCCATTTCTTCCACCTCCAAACGACTTTCCATCAAGGCAACCCTCCACCAAAATAAGACTTCCCCCTTTCCAATCTTGAGTTTTCTCAGAGGGCCAACTCTTAGTAACAGGCACTACTAGCACAGTAACTTGGCCTTTCTGTGCCTAGGCTTCCGGGTGTGTAAAATGGGCATAACACGTCCTAGAGTTAACGTATGTAAAGCACTTTCAAAGAACAGTGCTTAGCCCAAAGCAAACGATCCAAGGGCCGTTCACTATCTGCGTGAGAAGGAGGCTCCTTTCCTGCCTCGCAGGTATCCGGGACACCCCGTCCCCCGCCCCGCGAGTCCCCCCGCGAGTCGGGGAAGGGCGATGGCGATCAAAGTTCTCCGGATCCGGGTTGTTTGGGGGTGAGACCGGGCCAGGCAGGCAGCGCTCAGAATTCTCCACCCGGCCTGTTAGTCTCCCCTCCGTGCGGCTCCTAAGGATTTCTGTTTGTAGGTGTTTGTCCCTCCCCCCCCCGCCCACTTTCTGTTTATGTGACGGTCCTTCTCCCTTCCCGCTTCGGGTTTGTCTCTCGGAAACTATCTCTAACATGTCCTTTCTGTCTCCCAACTTTTCCTCTCCCTGCCCTGTCTTACCCTCTGTGTCTACATCTCCCTGCGTGTGTCTCTCTCGCCACCTCTGTCTCTCTGTGTGTTTTTCTCTTTGGGTCTCTCCATTTCTGTCTCTTTCTCTCTCCGCCCCCGTCCGCCTCTCCGGCGCACGCCCTCTTGGCCTCTGCCGGTGTCAATTCCCCCGGGAGCCCTGCCCCCCAACCACGGCGCAGTTCCATTCTCCGCGCCTCGGTCTCCAGCCCTGAAAACTGGGCCGACACCACCACCACCCTCCCCACCCTGGACACTCCCCGCTGGGTCGGGGCCGCCCGCGGGCCAGGCTTGGGTTCGTCTTGGCCGGGGGCCGGGGGGCCGGGCGGGCCTTGCTGGGGGCGCGCGTCCGGGAAGCGCCCCTCCTGGCTCCACCCACCCGGGCCAGCCCCGTGGCCACGCCTCCTTCCACCGCCTCTATAAAAATAGCGCTCCGCCAGCCAACCGCAGCCTGACTTCAGCGCTCGCACTTTTGGCCGAATCCTCAGCCCATCGGCCGTTCGCGCCGCCATGGATCTCTCCGCTATCTACGAGGTGAGCCTCCGCCGACCGACATCCCTGGGACCCTCTGGCCTGACTCCCTTCTTAAACTAGGGTTCGCTAGCGCCGAAAAGTCCGGGACCGGGACCTCCGGCTCCCTTCTCAAACTGCAGCTCGGGAGAGTCGCACACTCCGGCCCGGGGTTCCTTTCTCCCTTCTCAGACCAGTGCGCGTCTCGGGAGGTGCAGACGGAGCTCGCGACTTTCGGGTCTCCACCGCAACACTGGTGGGGTGGCCTTGGAGATAGGAAGTTGGAAGACTTTTTTCAGACCCGGGCTGTCTGGAGGCGGAAATGGCCCCACACCTGGCTTACCCCCTAGTAGTTGCTCAGGGCGCGGTTTTGCGCGGAGGCGTTTCTGGGGTTGGAGTCTCGGGGTAAGGGGAAGCCGACTTCTGTCTCTCCACCCCTTGACCCAGCGGGGAACTGTGGGAACTCTAAAACCGAAGAGATTCCGATTCCGGGGTTAAGTTTGTCTGCTTCTCCCGTTGTGAAACTGGAGAACCCCATGCGCGGGGTCAGATCCCGAGGGGCCCAGAGGCTCGAAACTGGGAGGACAGTGGTGTTGCCTGATTCTGGGGTTCTCCTCTTGATCCAGTCAGGGATCAAGTCAGGGGAGCTGGGGTGCCTGGATCCCTCGGGATAGGCTGCTGTCGCAAGGAAGCTCAGAACGTCCAAATCGGGATCCCTGCGATCCGACACCCACATTTTAATGTGCGCAGGTGGGGCTCAGGCCGGGAGCCCACAAACCGGACTGGCAAGCTCTTAGGTGCCCTGCAGCTGTGGTGGGGCGTCACCCAGCATTTTCGGTGTCTTAACCAATCCCTGTTCCCACAGAGCCTCGTGTCGGTGAGCCCTGACCTGCTATCTGACCACGGAGAGACCGAGTCCAGCCCAAGCTGGGCCTCCTCGGGACTCTGGAGCCTCAGCTCATCCGACAACAACCCGGCTGGGGTGGGTGCCCGACTGCCTGGCCGCTCCACCAGTCTGGTGGAGGGTCGAAGCTGTGGCTGGGTGCCACCACCCCCGGGTTTCGCCCCCCTGGTTCCCCGCCCGGGCCCTGAACTGTCGCCCTCACCCACCTCACCTACTGCAACCCCCACCACCTCATCCCGGTACAAGACTGAGCTCTGTCGGACCTTCTCGGAGAGCGGGCGCTGCCGCTATGGGGCCAAGTGCCAGTTTGCCCATGGTCTGGGGGAGCTGCGTCAGGCCAGCCGCCACCCCAAGTACAAGACCGAACTCTGCCACAAGTTCTACCTCCAAGGCCGCTGCCCCTACGGCTCCCGCTGCCACTTCATCCACAACCTCAATGAAGATCTGGCTGCCCCGGGCCACCCCCCTGTGCTGCGCCAAAGCATCAGCTTCTCAGGCCTGCCCTCCGGCCGCCGGACATCACCGCCACCGGCAGGCCTGGCAGGCCCTTCCCTGTCCTCCTGCTCCTTCTCTCCCTCCAGCTCCCCACCACCACCACCTGGGGACCTTCCACTTTCACCCTCTGCCTTCTCTGCTGCCCCTGGGACCCCAGTGGCCCGAAGGGACCCCACCCCAGCCTGTTGCCCCTCCTGTCGAAGGGCTACCACTAGTAGTAGCGTCTGGGGGCCCTTGGGTGGCCTGGCTCGGAGCCCCTCTGCACACTCCCTGGGATCTGATCCTGATGAATATGCCAGCAGTGGCAGCAGCCTGGGGGGATCCGACTCACCTGTTTTCGAGGCTGGGGTTTTTGGGCCCCCCCAGCCGCCTGCAGCTGCAGCCCCCCGGCGACTTCCCATCTTCAACCGTATTTCGGTGTCTGAGTGACAGGTGCCCCACCCGGTACAGATCAGCTGGATCTCAAGGGGGCCATTTCTCTTCTGCTGGGGATTCCGGGGAACTGGGGGACTCAATCACATAGCCTCCCCCCACCTTCCGAAGTGCATTAACCCATTCCCCTGACCCCACGCTGGGGCAGGTCCCCAGTGTGCAAGCTCTGTGTTCATGGTGTTGGGGGAAGGAGTGTTTTCTGGGGTCTTGTTAAAAAAAAAAAAAAAATGTAGCAGTTTTGAGGAAGGCAGTGAGCTCTCTACCCACCCCTCCCTTTCCCAATGCTGTGAATAGTAGGCTCCCACTGCCCCCTTCCAATTTCTCCTAGACCCTGAGGTTCCGGTGCCTGCTGGTGACTGGAGCCTGCCCCTGAGGGGGAATCCTGGTGCTCAAATTTCCCTCCAAAAGCAAGTAGCCAAAGCCATTGCCAAACACCCCCATCCCACCCATTGGGCCCCTTATTTATGACGACTTTATTTATTCTATTAGATTTTATAGTATTTATATATATGGGTCGTCTGCTTCCCTTGTATTTTTCTTCCTCCTTTTTGTAATATTGGAAACGATGGAATAATTATTGTTATAAGTATACTATAATATATTAAGTAATATATTGTTGAAAGTTTATTTTTGTGGTTTTTGGAATTTTTAAATAAAAGGAATCTGTGTGTAAACTGGAATCCCGGGTTTTCCGCGGTCTAGAAGCAGTGAAGAGCGGGGAGGGTGACGTGGGCTCTCAGAAGCGGGATAGGTGCGGGAGACCGATCGCTCTCCAAATCCTCCGCGCAGAACGAGCCGCCCGCGGCGCTTACCTGGCAGGAAGTGACGTCACCCGGCCCGGCCGTTCACCTGAGAGGGCGGGGCCCAGGTGAGGTCACCCTAGGAACTCGGAGAGCCAGTTCCCGGAGCGTGGGGGCGCGGGCGCTCCCGTCCAGCCGCGCTCCTTGACCCAGCTCGCGGCCGGGCGCGGGCGGGGACGGCATGTTTCCGTCCCCACGGGGCCGAGGGAGGAGGGAGGGGCTGGGCGGAGCGGAGAGGACGGAATGTGCCGGGGCGCGAGCCCAGGACAGACGGGGGCGGCGCGGCGGGTGGGGGAGGGGGCATCCCTAAAGTCGGGGCGTCCCGTGGTCCTACCACCCGGCGTTCCAGGACGTGAAAGCCCGGGGTACTCAGGCTTTTGGAACCCCGGGGGAGGCGGCTTGAGAGCCTGATTCCAGAATCTGCGAGGTAGTCTCGGCGACTTAGAATTCTAGCTCCTCGGTGTCTCCGAAAACTTACAGGGGCAGCAAAACGCAGCATTCTGGCTTTCCGGGTCCCTAGAACCTCGGAACTGCAGAGTCTTGGCCCGTCGGGACTCGAGAAGTCCGGCATTGCGGGATCTCGGCCTTTGGGGGTCTTGGAAGCTAGAGGGCTCGCGCCCCAAGGAGGGGCCGGGGTGGGGGTCGGGCACGCCAGGCCCGACTGTGGGTCGGGGCCGCGTCGGGCGGGGCCCCGGGTACTGCGGCGTCCTCGGACCATACAAGGCAACAGGCGGCGGGAACCACCCTGGGGCGGGGGAGCCGGCCGCCCCGCGCCCGGAAGCCGCCCCGCGTCAGCGCTGGCGCCCCGCCCCCCTTCCGCCGCCGCCTCCGCCCCCCTTACCCCTTACCCCCCCTTCTTTTTCTTCTCTCCCCCACTTCCCTCTCCTCTCCCCACCCTCCCCCCTGCCAGTTCCTCCTCCCCTACCCGCCTGCGCCTGTCTTCCCCTCACCCTCTCCAACTCTTCCCCTCCCCCAGTAGTCCTCTCCCTTTCCCCTTTTTAACATGTTCCCCTTCCAGCCCCCACCACCCTGTCCCTTACCCCCTCCTCTCTTTTCTTCAGTTCCCCTCTTCCTCTCCCTTCTCCTCCCCCTTCCTCCCCTCTCCACCCTTTTCCTCCCGGCCTCTCACTCACTCACTGTCTCCTCGGTTCCACCTCTCCTCCCCACCACTCTGCTCCCTCTTGCTGGTGTTCACCCTCTCCAACCCTTCCCCTCCTCTGCCTTCTCCCCTCGCTTCCTCCTGCCTCCTTGCCCTCTCTTCTTTGGCTCTCTCTCCTTGCCCACTGGCAGGCCCTGAACATTGATCTCCTCTTCCCGGAAACTGCCCTTCCTCCCCTCATTTTTGGGAAAGGTTTCAGATCCCCAGACTTAGGGGAAAGGGTTGGAGTAAAAGAAACACGGAGACCCAAAGACATTGGGGAGGCAGAAAGCAAGAACATGCCATGCAGAGACATTTACAGACACTGAAAGAACAAGAAACTGACATCTCTGGTCCTTCCCTTAGCAAGAAGAGATTTTCTGCCCCTTCTAAGAACAAAAACCTCATTTGAGAAAATGACCCCTTCCCCCAGCTATCAATGCCAAACACCCAGGAGTTCCCTTGACTCCTCTTTGTCAAACCCACACCCCAGCCCAGCAGCAATTCTGTCTGATTCACCTTCTCCATAGATCTACCTGCCTCCTGTGGCTGCCGCCCTAGTCTTACCCAGCACCATCTTCCATCTGAACCTTCCTAACATCCCCCCTTCCTGGTTTTACTGGCTCAGGACCTACACTCAGTCTCTCCCCACTCCCCAACAAGACAACCACAGGGAACCTGTCCTAACACTTGAGTCGGTAAGATCACATAAAAGGCAAAGTCCTAAGTCCTCACCAGCTTACATGGCCTGGCTCTTTGGCCACTATTGCTCTAGTGACACTGGCTTTCTGGCTGCTCACCAATATGCCTGACCTGCTGCTTCAGCCCCAGGGCCTTTGCACTGGCTTCTACCTCTGCCTGGAATATTCCCCCAGGTATCCCCATGGCTTACTCCCCTCCTTTAGGTCTCTGCTCAGATGCCTCCTCAGTGAAATGGTATTTGACTACTATTATTACAACCCACACTGAAGCTCTGTCACCCTCATCCTCCCAACTCTACTCTACTTTCTTGGTGACATTCACCACTACCAGGCATATAAGATGTAGTTTTCATGCTTATAGAAACCTGCCTCTCCCACTAGCGCGTCAAATCCTCAGGGGCCGGGACTTTGTCTTGTCTTCGCTGTATCACTCATTCCTAAACCCTAAACAGGGGTCAGTCACATAGTGCTGTTTAGCATTTGTTGAAAAAAAAACAATTCAATTCAGAAAAAGGAAAAGAGAGAGTAAAAAACCCCAAAACACTGGAGAAAAAAACGATTAACTGTGATGTGATTGATGTTAACTTATAGTAATCATTTCGCAATTTATACATATATCGAACCATGTTGTATGTCTTGGACTAATACGGTGTTATATGGCAATTATAGCTGGAAAAAAGTCCAACACAGGAAGATGGAAAAAGAGGCAGTGCCATACAGTTTGCGGAGGACCCGACACATCTAAGAAGTCTTAAACTGAGATTTGCAACCCAGGTAAAAGCTCAAGCGTTTAAGAGGCGATACCACCCTCTGGCGGCCGGGATGAAAACGGCACCTCCCCGCGACACAACACTTTCCCGGGAGGTAGTCAGAGTTCCAGGAGTTCCAAGCCGAAAACTCCGAATATCGAAACGTTCATTCCTCTAAGTGGGGATGTAGATGTTTTGGTTGATTTATAAGATGTATAAATCCGTAAAAAGAGGTTAAGAGGAAAAAGATGCTCCAGGTGAGGATCGAACTCACAACCTCGGCATCGCTCCGCTCGCACTGTCGTATAAGTACCGCGCGCTAACCGATTGCGCCACTGGAGCTCCGGCCGCACCCTCGCGTCGCGAGGTCCTTCAGTTGTTCTTGGCCACGTGACCTAGCTGGACAGCTCCGCCTTTTGCTGCATATGCAAATAAGAGTATTTTGGTTGACCAATGGGAGAGAGTGCGCTTCCAGTTCCGGATTCTCACGCCCCGAAGGCCCTTGCTGTAAAAGGGAAAAGTCAGGGACGTTAGGGATGTGGAGGCGTAGCCTGCCCGGGACTCGCCTTCTCATGAATATTCAGATACAAGGGAGGGGCTTAACCCTTTAAAGGCTGCCTGGCCGGAAGGCAGCCCCTCCCCCCCGCGGGCGGGAACAGGATATGACCCCGGGCGGCTGGGAGGGGGAGGGGAAGGCCCCGGCGACCGCCCCCCGCCTCACAGCTGGGACCGGACTCTCCCGCCACAGATGTCGCACCGCCGCCGCCTAAACCCGGCGGTACTCATCCCAGAGCCTTGAGGGGTCCAAAGTCGTGGACTCCGGAGTAGGGAGTCTGCACCGCACCCTGAGAGACCCCAAAGCGCAGGCTAAAGAAACCCAAATATCCAGGTGCCCAGCGCCCTCTCCTGGAGGAGCCGGGAGTCCGGGACATCACTCCGCGCGATCCTGGAGGCCTAGCTTCCTGCACCCCGGTTTAAAGAAGTTAGGATCCCAGACCGGTGATTACCCCCAAGGGTTCCCAGATATTCGAGCCCAGATATCCGAACTTGGCATACGGACTCCTGGCGCCCCAGCCAGTTTGTTTGGGGCTGAAACGCCCACTTCAAGGGGACCCAGGAATTTGGGACTCCCCTGCACTCCCGCCTGGAGATGGTTTAATATCTGCTCCAAGAGTTAGGGGAACTCAGGAATCCGGTCGCCCCACGGCCCTATCTAGAAGACTCAGGAATTTGGGTCTCCAGCGCCCCATCTGAGACCCAAGTGTCGGGACTTCCAGCATCCCTCATTTAGAGGACCAAGAAATTCGGACTGCTACATCCCTTTTTCCGAGAGACCCCGGATTGTGGTTCACGGAGCCTGAGAACCCGAAGTTCAAGCCCCTGACTTGCAGAGACCTAGGAGTCCGGCCTTGCGCCTCCCCGAGGACCGTACTAGGGTCGAATAAGAATCGAGCAACCTCGGTTCTGGGCTGGAGACTCCCTGGGAGGTGAGGGAGGGAGGCGAGGGGCCCCGACCGGCTGGGGGAGGGGGCGGCGCTGCAGCCGCTGAACAATGAGGGGGCGTGCCGGCTGGGGGCGAGCCGAGGCGCCGGCGGGAGTTTGGGTCTGGAGGGGTGTGGGAAGGAGCTGGGGACCCGGCGCGGCGGTGGGGACAGTAAGCGGATCGCGGAGGGACTGGCTGGGGGGTTGAGGGGAGGTGTGCTGAGGGTTCAGGGCCAGCGCCCCAACTCGCAGCCCTGGGCGGGGGAGGGAGCCGTCTGCGGGACCCTGGCATCCGGTCCCCCAGCCTCCTCCGCCCTCCCCTGGGACCCCGCGGCCTCCCGCCCACGGCTTTTCCCAGCCCTGCCCCTCGCCCTCGGCTCCAGCCAAACGTTCCCAGGATCCCTGAGCCTCCAGCCTCAGACCAGACCAGACTCCCAGCTTCAGTCTTCTTTGTCTCAACCTTTCCATCCTTTTCTCTGTGTTATCGCCCCTTGTGCCCGTTTCTATCACCGTGCTTCCGTCCGCCTCTTTAGTTACTCTTAGGGGGTCCCTCCTGGGTTTAGACCGGGTTCCCAATTCTCTGGCCTAATCTGTGAGTGTGGCCAGTGGGGGGAGGCTGATGGGGTCCTGATATCCAAGAAGGGGATCTCTCTGCAGCAGCCGCTGAGCCACTCAGCCATGCCGGAGGGAGCCCGTGGACCAAGCCTGTCCAAACCCAGCCCTAGCCTTGGCCGTGGCCCCACAGGTGAAGTGTGTGACTGCACAGCTGTGTGTGAGAGCCAGACAGGTGAGCATGCAAGGGAGGGTGGGGTCTGCTGGGCATTGGGTCCTTTAGTCCAGGCACTGTGAGGGCCTCTATGGCTGGCCTCGGTGCTGCGCAGTGCTGGCAACACAAGTGATCAAGACAATCCCAGCCCTGCCTACACAGAGCTCCAGGTCGCCTAGGACAGATGGAACCATCCCCAGATGCTGACAGTCCAGAGGGGGAAACCTGTGGTAGAATGGTCAGGGCTGGGACAGAGTTGTGGGGAATGATGGAAAAGCCCCATCCCCTCACTGTGGGAGCCCAGTCCGGGACAGCTTCATGGAGGAGGGGACATCTAAGCAGAATTGAAAGATGAGGAGGAATGAGTTGGAAAAAGCAAGGAAGAGTATTCCATGCTGAGGGGACAGTGTGTGCAGAGGCAAGAGGGGCTGGTTTTTCTTGAGTAACTGCAAGTAGGCAAATAGGACTGGAGTCTGGAGTGTGAGAAGTGGTATGGTTATGGGAAGAGAGCAGAATGGAAAGGTCTCGAATGGCCACGTTGCATAGGGCCCTGTGGATCTAAGGAGTTTGGACTTTATCCCGAGGACGTGAAGGACTCGAACACTTGGAGTGACAGGGTCAAATGGGCAGATTAATAAAGATCTCCCAGGCTGACACATGGAGGTGGATTAGAAGAGTGGAAGTCAAGCCCAGAGGAGTCCCTAATGGGAGAGGACTGGCCAGGACTGGGGCAGCTCAATGGGGAGAGGAGACTGGAGCCCTGGGGAAAGATAGTGATGTAGTATGGATGAGTGTAGGGCTGAGAGCACTCACTCAGATGGGGACACCCCCTGATCTCCTGCTCCACACCCCCAGCGGGCCCTGCAACCCCTGCCATGGCCTCCCCCCCGAGGTTCTGGGAGCTCCACATCCCTGAGCACGGTGGGCTCTGAGGGGGACCCGGCTCCAGGGCCCACCCCAGTCTGCTCAGTGTCCAGGCCAGAGCCCCTTCCAGGGCCCCCCATCCGCCTGCATCTGTCACCCGTGGGAACCCCGGGTTCAGCCAAACCCTCGAGGCTGGAGCGAGTGGTGCGAGAGATCGTGGAGACAGAGCGGGCCTACGTCCGGGACCTTCGTAGCATCGTGGAGGTGAGGCCAGCCGGCACCTGAGCACAGTGGGAACCCAGGCCAGCCCTCCGCACCCATAACCCCAGTCATCCCCGCAGGACTACCTGGCCCCTCTGCTGGATGGTGGGGTCCTAGGGCTGAGCGCGGAGCAGGTGGGCATGCTATTTGCCAACATCGAGGACATCTACGAGTTCAGCAGGTCAGAGGCGGGAGGGATGGGCAGGGGTACCAGCGGGTAGGGTCAGGGATGGTGGGCTGTATCCTAACCCAGACCTTGGAGCCCCATAATGCCTTGTCCAGGCTGGTACCTGGGGTCTGGTGACTTGGGGCAGGGATCATGATGGGGAGCAAGGAACCAGAGTGATGGAGGGTGAGGTAGATGGGAGCTTGAGGACCCCGAGGAGGCCTAAATCCTGGGATGCATCTCAGTGCTGTGTCAGATGTGGGATCACGATGAATCCAGGGCTCACGTGGGTCCCGAAGATCATGCCAGTGTGAGCATTCGTGCGACCGTCTCAGCCTGGGAACCCCCTCAGCCCCAGATAGACCAGATGGTTGGCCGGGACCCAGGAAGGAGGATGCTGGGGTCCAAGGATCCTGACCCCTCTGAGTGTCTTCATGAGATCTGAGAATGATTGCAGGAGATCTGAGAAGGCATGCCAAGATCTCAGGATCGCAACAGGATCTTAAGCTCATCGCAGCCCTGAGGGTCATGACACCCCTCTCCCTGGGTCATATCACAAGATCCCCACCCCCACCCCAGGCTCATGCTAGCTGTGACAATGTTTCAAGTGGAGGGATAGGATGCTGTCCATGGACAAAGTCTGAGCAGCTTGCAGTGTCACAGCAAGAAGACTTCCTTTGGGTGTGGTGACCCCTTGAGAGACCCTGGCCGCTGCCAAGGCCCCAGCCTCTTGGGAGTCCTCCCACGGGGGGTTCGGGGATGGGGCAGCCCCTCACCACCCTCTCTCCCTCACAGTGAGCTCCTGGAGGACCTGGAGGGCAGCAGCAGCGCGGGGGGCATTGCTGAGTGCTTTGTGCAGAGGGTGAGTCAGGGTGAGGGCGCTCAGTCTGGGATGGAGCCTGGGGCGGGGCAGGAGGCGGGGGGGGGGGGGGGGGGGGGGAGGAGGCCGGGGGTAGGTGGGAGGGAGGCCTTCGGGATTTGGGACCTTGGGTCTCCCTGACTCTTGTGTCACCTGCAGAGTGAGGATTTTGACATCTACACGTTGTACTGCATGAACTACCCGAGGTGAGGGATGAGGAGCTCCTGCTGGGCCCCAGGCCTTGCCCCCTGAGTTGCTGTGTCAGCCGGCCTCCCTCCACCTCGACCCATCCAGCTCCAACCCCTACCAGACCAGGACAGTAACTGACCTCTCCCTAAGTTGCCCTTGACCGCCCCCAGCCCCTGCTGCCAGCCCCTGCAACCCTGGCCACTCCCCACTCCCTCTCAGCCCCCCCCACACCCGGGGCTGCCAGCCCCCCCCCCACCCTGACCTGTGCTGTGCCCCCAGCTCCCTAGCCCTGCTCCGGGAGCTGTCGCTGTCCCCACCCGCAGCCCTGTGGTTGCAGGAGCGCCAGGCCCAGCTCCGCCACTCACTGCCTCTGCAGAGCTTCCTGCTGAAACCTGTTCAGCGGATCCTCAAGTACCATCTGTTGCTGCAGGTGGGCTGTGGCCCCAGGGGCTGTCCGGGGATGGCAAGGGCGAGGCCCTGTCTGGCGACGCCCTGGTGGGACCTCTGGAGGGTGGACCCAGGACAAGTCCCTAGAAGCTGGGACAGCAGTTGGGGCAGGGGCTTGTGGCTGGTGGGGACTGGCGCCAGCTGATCCCACTTTCTGTCTCTGCCTGTGTCTCTCTGTCCCTCACTGGGTCGCCACCTCTGCCCCTAACTTTCTGTTTCTCTCCCTCTTTGTCGTTACCATTCTCTCTCATCTCTGTCCCCTCCCTGGGTGCCTGGGGACTGCCTGGCAGGAGCTAGGCAAGCACTGGGCGGAGGGCCCAGGCGCCGGGGGCCGTGAGATGGTGGAAGAGGCCATCGTGTCCATGACCGCGGTCGCCTGGTACATCAATGACATGAAACGGAAGCAGGAGCATGCGGCGCGCCTCCAGGTGAGCCCCGGAGGATGGAGGCCGGGGGTGGGGGGTGGTGCCGGGGCTGCTGGATGGGGGCAGCGGGCAGGAGGGCCTCTGGTGGGGGTGATCGGCCTCTGAGCGCTGACTGGGACAGCACAGCCCTGTGGCTGACGCCCCCCGTCTCGTTGTGTGTGCACTTCCTATCTCGGTGCGTGTGCACTTCGGTGCCTTTTGCACCTGATGGGGTCCCAGCAGGAAGTGCAACGGCGGCTGGGCGGCTGGACTGGCCCGGAGCTCAGCGCTTTCGGGGAGCTGGTGCTGGAGGGCGCATTCCGAGGTGGCGGAGGGGGTGGCCCCCGACTTCGAGGGGGCGAGCGGTTGCTTTTTCTATTCTCACGGATGCTGCTCGTGGCCAAGCGCCGGGGCCCGGAGTACACCTACAAGGGCCATATCTTCGTGAGTTCGGGGTTGGGGGTGAGGCCAGAATGTCCCCAGCAAGGTTTATCACCTATACCTATAGCTGGGTACCTACAGGGAGGGCTCGTGGTGGGGTCTGCAAAGGAGGGACCACCCAGGTTAAAAGGACCACGTTTTCTTGAGTCCGAGGATGGGAGTGAGGTTTAATGAGGGGCAAGGCCAGCAGGATGCCAGTGAGGGCCTGGGGAGCTGGGGGGCCTGGATTTGAGCTTGCTTCCCCTTACTGTCCCCCCCCATCTAGTGCTGCAACCTGAGTGTGAGCGAGAGTCCTCGAGACCCTCTAGGGTTCAAGGTGTCCGATCTGACCATTCCCAAACACAGGCACCTTCTCCAGGTGGGTTCGAGGTGGGGCTGGGTGGTCAGGGCTCCCCTCTGCCTCTAGACCTTACACCTGGCTCCCAACTCCGCCCCGTCCCACCCCCAGGCCAAGAACCAAGAAGAGAAGAGGCTGTGGATTCACTGTCTCCAGCGTCTCTTCTTTGAGAACCACCCTGCCTCCATCCCTGCCAAGGTACAGCTCCTGCTATGTCCGTGGGCCTTGAGTGAGCTGGAGGACCTCCCCCCACCATAGCTCTGCAAAACCCTGAGGGCGGGGGGACTCTCTTAGACTATGATCCATAAATTGCAGAGTTAGGCTGCCTGGGTTTAAAGCCCAGCTTCACCATGTCTCTGCTGTGTGACTTTGGGCAAGTAGGGCAACCTCTCTGATCCCTGTTTCCTCACCTGGCGGAATCAGCATCAACCCCACAGAGTTGGGGGGATTACTAACAATCACAAGTCATGTGAGGTGCCTCATGCATACAGCACCCATGAGCAGGACTGTGACCGGGGCGCTCAGAGACAGGCGCTCTGCCACGCAACTCCCACCCTTGTCTCTTTCAGGCCAAACAAGTTCTCCTTGAAAACAGCCTGCACTGTAAGTTGGGGCCTTGGGATTATGTGGGAGTAGAGGCATGACTCCTGAGGAAAAGTCAATTATCAGGTTCCAAATTTCTCCCCACAGGTGCTCCTAAAAGTAAGCCTATCCCAGAGCCCCTGACACCCCCACTTGGGTCTCCCCGACCTCGAGATGCTAGAAGTTTCACCCCTGGACGAAGGAACACAGGTAAAGATGGAACCCTGAGCTTCCCCTCAACTTCTCCCCCAGGAACTGTACCCCCAGCCTTCCTCTCCTTCGGGAGCCTGGAGCTGGGCCCCTCATGGGCTTCTAATCTCCCTGTCCCCCAGCTCCATCTCCAGGACCCTCCGCTACCCGCCGTGGCCGCAGACAGTCTGGTGAGTGTCCTCCACCTAAAAGTTGACTAGAGAATGCGGTAGGAACTGGGCCCTTGACATCACTGTGTTCTCTCCCCAGAGCCAGTAAAGGAGCCGTACGTTATGTTTCCACCAAACGGTAAGTGACTGCCCCAGCCCAGCTGGGTCCAGCCCCAACTTTCTGTCTGTCTCTTTCCAGGGGATGTCCCATGGGCATGGGTGCGGGGTGACGGGCAGCTCATCAGCTGTAAGGAATGACCTTGTTCCCGCATCTCATTCTTTTCTCTTTATCATCTCTCCATCCCCAGCTAAGCCTAGACTCAAGGTAAGAAACACCCTAGGACAGGGTCTGGGGACCCGTACTCCTGGGCCTGGGAGAAAGGGATGGGGCCCTCCACTCCAGCCCTCCATCCTCTCTCCTTGCTTGCAGCATGCTGGCAGTGAGGGGGAGCTCTACCCCCCCTTAGAGCCTCAGCCACCAGTTCCAACTTCCGGACCCCCTGAGGACCTGGAGGACACTGGACCCCCCACGCTGGAGCCCTCTGGGACCTCCATCACTGAAGAGATTCTGGAACTATTGAACCAAAGAGGCCTCCGGGATCCAGGGGTGAGCTGGTCATCACATCATGGTGTCCTTGGGGCTCTCAGCTGGGAGGGGAATAGCCCCAGGGGGCCAGGGGGCCCAGCCTGCCCTGACATCTTTGGCCTCTTCCCCAGTGCCCACTGCCGCCATCCCCCCACGACATTCCCAAGTTTCCTGGAGATTCCCAGGTGCCAGGCGACAGTGAAACCCTCACATTCCAAGCCCTGCCCGGCCGGGACTCTTCAGAAGAGGAGGAGGAGGAGGAGCTAGAGATGGACGAACGGGGGCCTTCCCCGCTCCACGTCCTGGAAGGGCTTGAAAGTTCCAGCGTGGCTGAAACTCCCGACGTTTCCGGCCTTAGCAAAAGCCCAGACGCACCCGGCCTCCCTGAAATTCCCGGCCTGTCTGAAATTCCCAAGATTCCCCACCTTCCCAGCCTCTCTGACATTTCCAGTGTTTTTGAAATGCCCCACCTTCCAGCCATACCTAAGGTCCCGGACATTCCTAGTCTCGCCAGCGCTCCCGCCCTTCCCTGTGACTCATGGCTCCAGGGACCTCTGCAAGGGCCCGATGAGGCTGTAGCCACCAGGAGAGAACTGTTCCCCGGAGGCAACTCAGCAAAACTGGGGGAACCCTCCTCAGGTGGCAGGGCAGGGCAGGAGGAGCCCGAAGAAGGGGAACCGTTCCCAGACTTCCAGCCCCAGGATGTCCCCCGAGATCAGGGATTCCCAGATGAGCTGGAATTCCGCTCTTGTTCAGAAATCCGCAGCGCCTGGCGGGCCCTGGAGCAGGGGCAGCTGGCCCGGCCAGGTTTCCCGGAGCCACTGCTAATCCTGGAAGATTCGGATCTGGGCGGAGGCAGCGGGAGCGGGAAGACAGGAGCCCCGAGTTCGGAGAGGGCAGCTTCCCGGGTGCGAGAGTTAGCCCGGCTCTACAGCGAGCGGATCCAGCAGATGCAGCGGGCCGAGACCCGGGCATCGGCCAACGCCCCCCGCCGCCGGCCTCGTGCTCTGGCCCAGCCCCAGTTGTCCCCCTGCCTGCCCCAAGAGCATGCTGAGCCAGGTGAGGTCCAGGTGTGTGGTTGGCAGAGATGGCCCCCATGGAGACCTCAGTCCTGACTCCGTTCTTTCTGTGCACACAGGGCCTCTGCCTGCCTTTGGACACGTGATGGTGTGTGAGCTGGCCTTCCCGCTGACCTGTGCCCAGGAGTCTGTCCCTCTGGGTCCTGCCACTCGGGTTCAAGCTGCTACACCTTTGTCTAAGCAGGGAGGCTGCCTGGTTGGCCGGGGTCTCTGTGTTTCCAGTTTGCCTGAGCAAGACCATCTTGGCATCCAGGTACCAGCTGCTAGCCGTCTGCCTGAGCAAGGAGGCCCCCAGAACACACACAGCACGGCTGCAGCCACCACAGCCTTGCCCCCGCAGGAAGACCCCCCAGATGTGCAGGTCCCAGCTACAGCTCTGCCTGACCCAGGAGGCCACCTGGAAGTCCAGCGTCCAGCTACCACTCCTCTGCCTCAGCATAGAGGCCATATGGACACCCAAGTTCCAACCAGCCTGGCCCTGCCTGGGCAAAGATGCTGTTCTGATGTCACAGTTTTAGCCACTGCCACTGTGCCCAAGCAAGAAGGTCCTCTATGTAGCCAGAGCCCGAGCAATACCCCGTTAACCAGACAAGGAGGTCCCAGGGATGTTCCATTTCCGGCTGGTGCTGGCAACCAAGCTGTCAACGCTTCGCTTATGCATGGAAGCAGCCTGGACCGTCCGATCCCAGGCAACGCTGCACTGCCCTCTCAACATGACCTCCCAGACATTCCGGTTCTGGGTGCTTCACCTCTAGCTGCCTGGGAAGGCCCCCTGAGCCATGAGATCCCAGCCAGCGCTGCGCCGTCTTTGCCCCGAGACCCCTCAGACATTCAGCTTCTGGGCACCTCATCCTTGCCTGCACACGAACGCTGCCTAGACCATCAGCTCCCAGCCAGCACCGCACTGTCTTTGACCCAGAACTTGAATGTTCCTGCTGCTGCACCTCTGCCCCAGCGACCAGGCCTCCCGGACACCCAAGTCCAGGCCCTCCCACCTCTGCCCAAGCAGGGAGGCCTCCCAGACACCCAGGGTCCATCTGCTGCACCTTTGCTTCAGGAACAAAGCTTCACAGACCTTCAGATCCAAAAACGTTCACCATTGTTGGAGCAGAGGAGCCTCCCCGACGTCCGTGGTCCGGCCCCGACACTCCTGCCTGAGCAGAGAGGCTCTCAGGACTCTCAGGGCCTGTTTTCCACCCCGCCTCAGACCACCATGGTTCTGTCCAAACCAGGACACTACTTGGCCTCTCCTGTCACCAGGTCAGAGTCTTCAGAATTGACCCCGCCCCATAGCCCCCCTCCTCCGACCCGGCAGCTCCTGGGCCCCAACGCAGCTGCCCTCTCAAGGTACCTGGCAGCCTCATACATCAGCCAGAGCCTGGCTCGGCGGCAAGGGTCTGGGGGAGAAGCCCTCTCGGCCTCCTGGGGTCCCTGGTCCTCCTCTGCCCCCGCATCGCGGGCCCCTTCACCCCCACCCCAGCCCCAGCCCCCGCCACCCCCAGCCCGGAGGCTCAGCTATGCCACCACAGTCAACATCCAGGTTGGGGGCGGCGGGCGGCTCCGGCCAGCCAAGGCCCAGGTCAGGTTGAACCACCCTGCTCTCTTGGCCCCTGCCCAGGAATCTGTGGGCGTTCGCAGGGCCCAGGGAGCTCCTGATGCCCCTTTCCACATGTGAGCCCAGATATCGGGCTTCTTGAAAAGCAAGGACTTCAGCCGGATGCCACAGACCCTCAGAACTTCATCCAGAAGTCCAGACACTGAGCACAGGTCTAGAAATTGCTGCAGCTTTCCAACTCCTGGGAGCTGCTTTGGCGAATGGTCCTTTTTACTTACCTTGACTAACTCAGCAGGGATGGGGAAGGGGATGTCATTAATATTTTGTTAATATTATGAAGTTATGTATATTTTCCCATTCTGGAGGCAGTGGGCGGATGGCCAGACAATGAATGCGAAGGTCTGACACGGCATGAATCAGTGGTTCTGAAAACAGGAGGCATCTCAGACTTGTTGGAGAATTACTGACGACCGCCCATTAGTTTGGTGTTTGCGTTTAGATAGTTTATGAACTGCTCGATGCCATCCAGGAAAACCCAGTTAAGCAGCTTGGTTCCAGGTCAACTTAGAAGTTTACCCAGTTCATGTCTGCTGGCATCTCATCTATTCAGCCGTCTTTAGGTCTGTCCATCGGCTGGCTGTCCCATCTTCCAACCATATGCCATGATTTAGTCAACTCTGCCCTATCCATCCGCCGTCCTACCCCCTTTCTCATACCCACTCCTCCATTATCCCACCTGTCCACATTGTCCAACGGGCCCTCTCCAGTCATCCCTCTGTTCCTCTGTATTTCCCCCTTTACCCATCCCTGCATCTCATTCAACCATCTAATCCATCAGTGCCATCACGTTACGTTCCCTATCATCCATCCATCCCTCTTTAATTAGATTCTTCTGAGTCTTGGCACTACAAAATTTCAGAGATTCTACTATACTAACACCAGAGTGAACTGGGTTTGGGATTCTGCAAAGTCCGTTCCACATCTGATTTCTCACCCCCCAACACATGAATGTTCTAATTCTTGTGCCCACCTACACACATTGGATCTTTTTACCCCCTCACTTTAGTTTGGGACCTCTCAAGTGCCCCCACCCCTAAGAGAAATTCAGGTCGGAGACAAAGGCTTTTATGTTAGAATCATTCTGCTCCCTCCCAGCAGTGTTATGCTGGGCAAGCAGCGTAACTGAAGCAGTTTCTTTGGGAATACTAGCTTCATTCATTGAATGCTAAACCCTCTTGGACTTAGCACCTTGTTTTATTTCATTTTCCCTGGAATTCACTGAGGTACAAAGCTGAGTTCAAATCCTGACTTTTCTAGTTGGTGTACAACCTCTGAGTCTGGTTTTCTCAACTGGGCCAGCTGAGAAACTAGAGCAGTACCTGCCTTGTAAGATCATGGTAAATTCAGTGAGCATGGCCTCACTTCCTGCGGCACTGTTCGACTACCAGAGAGATCGTCCAAGGTCCAGGATCCAGTTCCATCCTATGGAGTCAGAACCTCCAGGGTGGGAGCCTAGGAATCTGAAGTTTGAACAGTGAATGGAAAGAAAAAAAAAAAAAGTGGCGATTTATTGAGTACTAACTGCATAGCAACGGCATTAGTCACTTTATGCGAACTCATTCACTTCGAATCCTCTCAGGGTCCCTAAAAGACACGTGAGGATGGTTTCTGATCCTCAAGAGATGAGGAAACAGAATAGAGAGTAAGGGGGTCTGCCCTGTCACATAGCTAGGCAGAGGCAAAGCTGGAACTCAGATCCACACAGCCTAGCTTGAGTCCATACTGTTAAGTGTCTATCTTGTGCCCGACCAGATAAAAGGAACCACTTCCCTCTGGGATAAGGCTTACAGGTGCCTGAAGGGCCCTAAGTGATCCTTAGCTGAGTAAGGCAGCAGAAACAAGACCTGGCTCAGTATATGTGAGCAGCTGGCTCCTGGTCACTTACCGGCTATTGGCCTATACGGCAGGGCTAGGGCTGAGCTGGCCTCCTCAGCCTGGGCCCAGCAGCTGCCCTCCCCTCCTCCGCCTCCAGCTGCACATTCCCAGCTGAAGGAAAGTTCTCAGCCTGGCCTGGGCTCCCAGTGGCGCCGGAATTCCCGGTATTTGAGGAGGCGGCTGGGAGAGAAAGGGGCAGTCTACTCCAAAGCCTCAAGTGGGGAAGGAGAGGCGAGCCCCCTCCGCCTTTCCAGATGCAAGATGCATCCCAGCTGTGCCTCTGGCAGGGAGCCAAGAGCCTCGGAAGGGGGTCTCTGAACCCTGGAGGAAAACCATGGACACCAGGCTTGCTTTGGCCCCTCCTGTTCCCCACCCCTGGACTCCAGGACTCCTGACACCTGCCAGGCTCCTAGCTTTCCCCTCCACAGTCCGAGCTGACAGCGTGTTGGGATACACTCCTTGCTGGTCCACTAGTCTGCCCACTGTTAGGTCAGCCTAGCTGTCCTTAGAGCCACAGTTCTATCAGGCTCAAAAGTGGGAGGGTAGTGCCCTGCTGCCCTCTTTGGGACATTCAAGTTAATGCCAGCCAAACCATTAACCCATTAACATCTCCCATGAAGAGCCTGGTGAGCTATAGTTACATGGCCACTAGGCTAACTTTCTTAGCTAACATCTTGACTTCTGCCTGCCACCAACCTCACAGGCACAATGCTTAACTGGGCACCTAGTTGGTGCCAGCCCAGCTAATCAACCCCACTGTCCATCTGTAAGCAGCTCTATCCGTGTACGCTCCTTGTAGATCCATGTCGTCCTACAGAACTGGCCTCAGTGAACATGTTCTCTTGTCTGCAGCCCAGCCATGGCAGCCACACAGGCCTACTCTACTGACTGGGCAGAGACAAAAAGGGCAACTGGACAGTAAATTTCAAGTTCCATCTTTTACGAAAAAAAATTTGTAAGGTTTTCCTTCCTCCGTCCATGTCCAGTGTTCTTGCCAGTACCCCGGCAGCAGGGGGAGGAGTGTGGGCCCTCGCCTGGGGACAGATGGCTGAGGTAGGTTGGCTCAAGGCTTATGTGGGCGGAGATGCACATTCCACTCAATGAGTCACTGGCTTCCTGCAAAAGGGGGGGGGCTCAGGGGCACAAAGTAACTGAATCCACAAGCAACATTCACTTCCCTATACATACACCAGTACTGTCCCACAAAACTTTGACAATGGAAATGTCCTGTGTAGCCCAGGAATAGCAACCGAGAGCCCACTGAGTGTTGGCTCTTACAGCTAAGGTCTCAGACACATTCTGAGCCCTATAAAGACAATCACCACAATGAGTTTAACTGGGAACCTTTCTCCAGGAGTACTGCCATCCTGAAACATGAAACCAGTCAGGGAAATCCACCCCCACCCCCCGCAATCCCAAAGCTGTCTCCCTACAGGTTGGCATTAGGCTAAATTGCTTTCTAATCCGGCATGGCCCTTAGTGGTTGACTTCAAAATGCACCCAGGAGGTTTCTCCTGTCTCCATATTCTAGTTCACTTATCTTACACTTTCTACCACTCCTCCTTGACATGCCATTTCGACAGTGGCAAATGGACTGAAAAAAGACAAACTCACAAGGACACCCCACACAACCAATAGCCCAGAATTCCCCAGACCGGACTCTACTGGAGGTGCAGGGAGACTGGGCCCACCTGCCTCTCCCACCCACTCACACTGACCCTAGAGTGCAGTCTTCTAGAAAAGTTTACAATTCAGGCTGGGGCGTTTTTACATTTCTTATAGTCCAAGACCCACCAAAAACAACCAAAGCAGTCTTTGAAAACTTAAGTCCCGTAACAATTGTTTATTATAAAGATGAACCCTCATCCTCATGACAGGCTTATCGGTAGGATTTCTGGTAGCGAGCACGAGCACCAGGACCACCAAACTTTTTGGATTCGCAGCGCCGGGGATCAGCTACCAACAGGGTCCGGTCATACTGGATGAGGATGTCTTTGATCTCCTTCTTGGAAGCCTCATCCACGTCTGGGAATGAAAAGAGAGTGAGGACTGCGATAGCCATGGAAATGCCCTCCAAGTCTCTGGGGCTAAAGATTGGGCTGGGGGGGTGCTGGTCCCCTACTTGCCACCCACCCACCCGTCGGGAAGGAGCAATGCTCACTCACATTTCTGGTAATAGGCCACCAGGGCTTTGGAGATGGATTGGCGGATTGCTGTGAGGGAAATACATGCACGAAGAGAGTGTTGTCAGCTTTGTGAAGGCCCAAGAATATGGCCTTGCTCTCAGAGCCACCTCCCCACCATGCCCGCAGTTCCTGGAACTCACCATAAATCTGGGCCACGTGACCACCACCCTTCACTCGGACTCGGATATCCACCCCAGCAAATCGCTCCTTGCCTAGAAGCAGAACAGGTTCCAGCAGCTAGAGGAGCAAGGGACATGACAGGATTTTAGATGACAACCAGGACAGCTGAGTGCCACCTCACTGAGCACCCAACTCCTCTCTCTCCAAGTAACTTCTACCACGGCTGATGTAAGAGCACTTGTGGATGAGGAAGAGGCTGTCACTGCAGACCCCTCTGCATAGGCAGGGGAGCAGGGAGGATTTGAAGCCTGAGGAGAGACTGCTGAAGGCAACCTGAGCTGGGCCCTCCCATCTGTGTCCCTCTGGGGCCTCAGAATCCCCATCTCTAGCACTGGTTCTTAAGAGTGCTGGCACTTTAGTTCAACAAGGCCAACCTCTCCAGCCACCAAGGCTGCCAGAAACCATGAAAAGACCCGTCCAGTGCTTTTTCTGATTTCCCCCCTTGAGCACTCCGCCCAGCCCTCTGAGCATCCCTCCAAATTACAACAGTACTACAACAACCTGCGCCACACTCTCCCTTGCCAGCTCTAGAGCTTTTGTAGGTGTCTGGATGTTTTTGTTTTACCTGCTTTAAGTCTCAGCTCACAGATCCCCACCTTCATCTTCCCCAAGCCTGTCCAAATCCTACCCAGGCAGAACCCCTCTCTGGACTCCCCAATCTCAACCCAGACTATGCTGGAGCAAGGTCTAGTACTGAGTCCAGTCTGCCTCCTCGACTGGACTAGGAGCTCTGTGAGGGCAGGGCCTGGGGCTACCTGATCACTGCTGTGTCCCCAACACTCAACACAGACCACACAAACAAAACCTTTGTATAACCAGCAGCTGGTAAGAGCAAACCATAATACAAAGGGATCTCAGACACCATCATATTAAATTCTAACTAAACCTGCAACACAAATGTTATTTTTCATAGTTAGAAATGACACAGTTAGAAAGGACTTTTATTACTACCTTGCACACCAGAAACTAACATTGCATTTCAATGTCAGTAAAATTAAAAAATAATCGGAAGTAATAAAGTAAAAGCAACACACTCTGAAAAAGTAAGTAAGCTCTCACACACACACCAAGAAGCTTATACTGACAAACTACTCTATCTTCACAACAGTCCTTTGAGGTAGAAATTATCCCTTTTATAAATGAACCTGAGAGGGGCGCCTGAGTGGCTCAGTGCGTTAAAGCCTCTGCCTTCGGATCAGGTCGTGATCCCAGAGTCCTGGGAAGGAGCCCCGCATCGGGCTCTCTGCTCAGCAGGGAGCCTGCTTCCTCCCCTCTCTCTCTCTGCCTACCTGTGATCTCTGCCTGTCAAATAAATAAATAAAATCTTTAAAAATAAATAAATAAGTAAACGAACCTGAGGTAAAATGTTACTTGACTCAAGTAACACCACAGGTTAAAAAAGGCAAAAAAAAAACAGATTCTGCTCTTTCCATTCTGAGCTCAAGAAACTAAGGCCAAAACAGGCAGGGGAGGAACCCCTTTCACAGCAAAGAACAACAAACCCAAATTCTCCTCCTGTTCTTCCAATATTTAACTATTAAGCACCTACAACAACCAAACCCTACTTTTAAGCAAAATGTCTTAAGAAAACAATTGATTTGTCCTCAGAGAGTATATGCTCTAACAGGGAAAAAGAGACGTTAGATTGTAAACATGACACACATCTGCCATTACTTTACTATACTATAAGAAACCAGGCCGCACAAACTCCCCTTACCCTGCAGTCCCCAAATGAGTGGGCTTCCAAATGTCCCAGTTTTTTCTTTCTTTTGAAGATTTTACTTATTTATTTGACAGAGATCAAAAGTAGGCAGAGTCAGGCAGAAAGAGGGGGAAGCAGGCTCCCTGCTGAGCAGAGCGACCGGACGTGGGGCTCCATCCCAGGACCCCGAGATCATGTCCTGAGCCAAAGGCAGAGGCTTAACCCACTGAGCCACCCAGGCACCCCAAATGTCCCATTTTTGAAATCACCCTTTTAATCTACAAGTTTTCACTCTGTCCACTTTAACCACAATATCTGAACCCCCTGAAAATCCAACTTCATCTCCAAATGCCCCTCTTTTTCCTTTTTAAAGACTTTATTTGACAGAGAGAAACACAGCGAGAGAGGGAACACAAGCAGGGGGGAGTGGGAGAGGGAGAAGCAGGCTTCCCGCCGAGCAGACAGCCCGATGCGGGACTCGATCTCAGGAGCCTGGGATCACGACCTGAGCTGAAGGCAGACACTTAACGACTGAGCCCCCCCAGGCGCCCCCCAAATGACCCTTTTTCTTTCCCCAACTCAGCTTCTAAACATCCCATTGTTGATACCAGATCCCTCAGCTTCCAAGACCAAGGATTTCCAAGAACCCATTTATTTAAACATCTCTCTCTAGAGCTCTCCACTAAACCCGAAAGCCCACCCTCAATGCCAGCACCTTATATTGTAGCGTGCGGGGTTCGATCATCTCCAGGGGCCGCCCATTCACCTTGATGAGGCCGTTGCCCCGTTTGCAGTGCGCCACGGCTGTGGCCGTCTTCTGCGGAAAACGAGGGAGAAAGAGCGGAGCCACGTGAGCTTCGGTCCCCAGCTTCTATGTCGACCCCAGAACCTGCCCGTAGGCCCCAGCCAACCCCGGCCTTCCTCCGCCCCTTATCAGGCACCCGGCCTACCTTGCGTCCGAAGACCTGCACGGACTGCAAAGGACCCTTGGATGGCATGGCTGGAACGTAGACCAGAGGTCCTCACCGCGAGGCGCTGCAACCGGAAAAGGAAAATGCGGGGCCTCCCTGGCCGCTTTTCAGGGTCTGCGCAGGCGCTCTGGGTGCAGTGTCGCGACGGGAGAGCGCTTTACGGCTCATATTGCGGCCAGAGGGCGGGACTTCGGAATAGTGGCGACAAGGTGGGTCCCAGGACCGGAGGAGGCGGGACCTGACGTGTGCGGGGTGCAATCGCGGACGAAGGGCGAGGGCAGGCTGTTCTTCACATTCTCGGTCCTCGCTGGCCATCGCCGGTTCTTTTGCATTTCGGCTCTTTGATAATATCCCTCCGCCCTAAAATCGATTCTTACCGTCGTCTAAAGAGGCTCTTTTTACCCTCTAGCACTGGTTACCATACTTTCCTGTGAACTCCATCCTGCCCTCTGGACACCCTTCTCCCCAAATCCTTCTCCGTCAGAACCCACAGCAGGAAGTCAGGATTTACAAATTCCAGATTCCGAACCAACTCCTCCGAGAATCCTCTCCCAGAATCTTTCCTTTTAGCGCCCCTCAGAATCCACCTTTCGCCAGAATTTCCTTCCTTTTAAAGTCTTCTCCTCCCAGAATCCCACTCTTCAGAGCCCTCACCCAGACTTCCTCTTTCCCTGAATCTTTCTCCATTCAAGAGCCCCAGAATCTACTTCTGCCCGCAATCCCCCTTTACCAGAACAACCCCGTTAGAATCCCCTTTTCACAAAATCTCTCTGGCTTTCAGAGCCCCCTCCTTCAAAATCTACATTTCCTAAGAATTATTTTCCCTTCAGAGTCTCCTCTTGCCAGCAGCTGGTTTCCCCTCGATTTTCCACTCCTTAGAATCCCACCATCCAGAATGCCCCCCTTGAGGGTCCCTACCCTAGAATCCCTCTTTCTCCAGGGTCTTTCAAATCATCTCTTCATCCCCTCCCCCCCGCAAATCATCCTACTCTCCAGGCTTCTCCCCCACAGAGTTCTCCATCCCCAGCATCCCCCCGATCCCATCTGAGGAACCTCAGGATTGAGTTGCCCCTTTGCTCCCCTACACTCAGGATACTCCTTAGGGTCCCAACCAAAAGGTTTCTCTCTCAGACCTGCAGAGAGCCCACAGTTTCTTCAGCTTCTCTGGCAGCCCTGAGTCAGAGGTCCAAAGTTCAAAGGGCCCTGGTGACTCACCTTGTGCCTGGAAGGTGGAAATGGGGTGGAGGTTGGTGGGCGGGTCTGTGGCGGGAGGGAGAATCCTCCAGCCCAGAGTCTAGCTCCAAAAGGGTAAGAGAGGGGAGAAGTGGAGGGAGGGGGCCCCCAGAGGCTGACTTGGGGGGGGCATACAGACAGATACACAGCACAAGAGAGACAGGCACACATGAAGGAAAAAGACAAAGAAGGGGCCAATGGAGAAGAGGAGAAAGAAGATAGACACAGGGTCAATCACAGAATGACCCAGAAAACACAAGTGACGGCGATTCGGAGGCAGAGAGGCCAGCCCTCAGAGAAAGAAGACGGACAGGTACATGGAAGCATGGAGATTCCAAGATATTTGAAATATGGAATACTTGATACAGAAGTAGAAGTAGAAAGGAGAGCAAAGACCCCCAAATATGCACCTGCAAACACAGATAGAGCCTAGCAGGGGTGTTTTCCAATGAGAAGACAGGCGGCGGGATTCAAGCACTCACACACCCGGTACTGCCTTATGGTCCTGTTGGGGAGGGGGTTGGGATGGGACTTCCCCAAATCCTCCAGTCTATCTGGGCTGAGACTCCCACCTTTGCTGAGTCTCATATCTTCCTGTGGGGGTTGGGGGAGAGGCGTCAGGAAACCCTCTGACCTGGACCGGCCCTGCTGTAGGATGACCATCTTCCCGCGGGGCTGTTGGAGAACATTCCCTGAGTATCTGGGTTGAGTGGAGCTGGGCAGGAAAAGGTCCGGGACTTTAGTCTTCTAACTAGCTCTGTCTCTCTGTACTTCTTGCTTCCAGGATGCTGGGCTGGGACCAGAGAAGGCCTGGGCGGTGGGCAGGGTGCCCATGTGGCCGCTCTGGACCATCCTCCTGCTGGTACGACCCTTGGGAGGCCTAGGATCACCCCTCTGTCCTCGGGAGCCTTTCTACTTCCTTGTTGCCATCATGAAGATGCTGGTGAGGAGGAGGGAGGGGAAAGACTGGAGACAGGTGGGGGGGCATGCTTGAGGAAGGGTCAGGCTCCCCCCTCCAAGATCTGATTCTTCTCCCTACCCCAAATTATAGGGAAACAAAAATGATGGCACTCTCTACACACCAGATGACCTCTCGGTGAGTATTTCATTAGCTTCTTACTGGACCTTGGAAGTTTAGGGAGAATCCACTAGGCTCAGAACACATGTTGGGGGCAGGAGACAGGGGTATGGTGTTCTGGCTGTCCAGCTGTTCTGACCCAACTCCCGGCCTTCACAGATACATTTTGTGCACTGCTGTCTCCAACACCTATTTTTTTAAGATTTATTTATTTGAAAGGGAGAGAGAGAGAATGCACGCATGCCCTTGAGCAGTGGGGAGAGTATCCCAAGCAGATTGCCCGCTGAGTGGGGAGTCCCGATGCAGGGCTCTATCCCATGACTCTGAGCCAAAACCAAGAGCTGGATGCCTGACAGCCACCCAGGTGCCCATGCTGTCCCCAGCACCTACTAGAACAGCGACTGGCACATAGCAACAAACAATGGTGATGGTGGTGAGGATGACAGCTACATTTAGATAGTGATGCTTCTGCCAGGTACTGGTCTAAATGCTCTAAGTATATTAGCTTATTTATTAGGGACACCATATAGGGATGTGCAGAATGCACACTGCACAAGGGTCGCGCGTCCACAAGAGCAGTATTCATACCCTGGATGTGCTCGTCAATTTCTGGTAGAGAGAGGTAATGTATCTTGTTCTAACAAAATCAGCACTTCCAAGTGTTTTAAGAAGGAAGTATCATTTCCTAGGTATAGGCGGGCATCAGCCCTGAAATTAGGAATTCTTCAGAGTTCTCTTTTACAAATGAGAAAACTGAGGGCCAAAGAGATGAAGTGGGTTGATTGTCCCAGGCCCTAATTCAGAACTGGGGATTTGGGATCAGACCCTTGCCCAGAGACACCAAGTCACTCTGTCCCCACAGGTGTGTCCTGCTGAGACTCTAGGGTGCTTCCGGCTGGAGCTGTCTGTGATCCAGTTCGAAGAGGGCCCATCCCTGGGGATTGCCGTGTTCCGGCTACAGCGTCTGCTGGATGCACTGGGGTCCCGGCTGTGGGTGACTGGCCAGGGCCCTTGTCCACCCTGTGAAGGACATCCCCAGAGACCTGTTCCTCTCTTTCTGGCCAAGCTCTTGGAGTTATTACAGGGGGCATGTGCTCGGCACCGGCCCTTGGCATGAGTCTGGGAGGACACAGACTGCCTGGTACTGCTGCTGGAGAGGCTTGTTGGAGAGAGGGGGAGAGGATGTGGTCTCTAGCCCCAGCTTCCAGTCCTAAGCCTTCTCCTTCTAGGCCAGAGGACTTCATGTGCAGTCCAAGGAGCCAAGGGGAAGAGGAGAGAAGGAGGAAGATAAGATCTGAAGCCTGAAATCTCTGGCCTCCTAGGGTGTGGGGGGCCCCCATCTGGTCCTGTTCTCCCTCTCAGATACTCCCTCCTCTCTCCTCTATGAGGAAGGGACACAGCATGGCATAGGTGTCTTCTAACCTAATCCTACCCCTAGAGGACAAGGGGAGTCTTGTACCTCAAGTCTCTGACTGCAAATAATTACCACCTGGAGAGCTTTGAAGTAATACTGATGGTTAGGCCCCAACCCAGAGATTTTGATAATTGGTCTCTAGTGGATTCTGAACACCATAGATTTAAAATCAACTTCATTGAGGTGTAATTTACAGATAGATAGCATACATTTTAAGTGCACATTTCAATGAGTTCTGACAAAGGTATACACACAGCCACATTTCCATCACCCCAGAGCGTCCCTCATGTCCCTTCCCTGTCAGTCTTCACCTCCAGTCGTAGACACTCACTAATCTGCTGAGTGTAGAGATCAGTTTTGCTTTCTCTAGAGTTTCATATGAAGGGAATTGTAGTAGGTACATATATCCATGCTAGTGTTTGGCTTCTTTCACTCAGCATGAAGTTTTTGAGATTTATTCATGTGCTTATCAAAAGGTTATTACTATCCCATTGTATAGATGCACCCCAATTTGTTTATCCACTGTCTTTATGATGGCTATCGGGTTGTTTCCACTTTGCAGCTACCGTGCATTGCTCTCTTCTTGCATCTTCTTCTGTAATGCTGGGGTTGAGCGTTGGGAACCACGGACACACCAAACTTCCTGTGGCAGGGAAATTACTATTGCCTCTCATTCCTGCAGCGACGTCAATAGGCATTTTTTATGTGGAATCCTGTTTTGAAGAGCTGCTGTTTAAAGGAACCAAGCTTCCTTTAAGAAGGGGAAACATTGGGGCACCTGGGTGGCTCAGTGGGTTAAGCCTCTGCCTTTGGCTCAGGTCATGATCTCAGGTCCTGGGGTCGAGCCCCACATCGGGCTCCCTGCTCAGCGGGGAGCCTGCTTCCCCATCTCTCTCTCTGCCTGCCTCTCTGTCTACTTGTGATCTGTCAAATAAATAAATATATTTAAAAAAAAAAAAAGAAGGGGAAACATTGTTATAGAACAACCAGGATTTCCTCCCCACCTCCGCCTTGGTTTCAGTCTGGGGTTGTTGGATCAGGGAGTGTGTGCTCCTATAGACACGCACGTGTGGTATACTCATTCCCTGGTAGCTGTCCTGTGAGCCAGCTGGTGGGCCAACCACACTATACTACCCTGTAACTAGGTGCATATTAAATTTCTGTAAATTGAATCCAGGTGTCTCAATGCTTATGCAAGAAATTTTAGCAATGTGTTTTTAAAGGTTTCTGATCTGTTTCCCCCTTCATCTGATTAATTTTTCTTACCGCTCTCTCTCATGCCCGGTCCTCTTTGCCACCATCAGACAAATAATTACTAATATGTAAATTCACATGGACTTAAACTTGGGGATCTGTAAGGGAAAACAAGGG